GCTTGACCGGGCTTGACCTGCCCGTACAGATGCATCGTGTCTAGTCCCGTGAGCTATACTCGCTCTCGCGTATGCACGATAGCGACACCGGAGTGGATGCTTGATACGCCACGAGTACGGCTGTTCGGCTACGGGGGTCATGCAGACTACGTTCTTGATTCGAGTTGCCTAGGTAGAATGAGAGGATGGGGGAGCTTGTTGGAAGTTCACTGCTAGGCTTTCATTGAGATGGATTTGCGCGCTGATTTGGGGATGGATGTTGCTTGCTGGTTTGTTGTAGCACTATCAATGTAGAATTATCGTTGTTGGAGATCATAGTCCTCATCATCTCAGACCATCCATCTCCAAGCTCACATTATCCGCTCTCGAACCATAAACACCCCCATCCAAGATCCACTGCTCATTATCATCATTATCATCCTGCACGCGACGCCACGTCTGCTTCCTGCCTCCTTCACCCGCATTCTCCTTGCCTTTACTCTCCTGAACCTTAATAGTCGGCCTAATCAGTCCACCCAACAGCGGATTCTTGCTGAACGCCCCGCTACCACTCGATAGCGTATTCCCATCTCGGGGCCGTTGAGTAGGTTCGGGTGGCTCATCTTCGCTCTCGGGTGTAGCCGGCCTCTCGGTAGCAGCCATGCGCTTGACAAGCTTCTTGCCAGAGAGATCGATGCTGGCGACTACTTTGCGCTTTTCGTACTCTGGGCGCGCATTCCAGTCTTGCTCGCGCAGGGCTTTTTGCTGGCGCTTGAGCTGCATGGCGCGTTCTTGGGGGCTGGCCCACATGCTGAGGCCGGCTGTTGTGGTTTCGAAGTCGGCGGCTTCGTCGTGGACTTGAGTTCGTTTGGCGTTTTGGGCTTGGAAGGCGAGCAGCTTGTCTCTGTGCTGTTTTGCTTTTGCGAGCTTCTCGTTCTCAGACTCGACGTCCGAGGCCGGATTGGAAGATGCGGGTGTTCCTGTGCGGGGTGTTGAAAACGGGCGTGGTGCGAGCGAGACATCGGCACGCTTTTGGCCCGCGTTGTTGGCGGCCATCTTCTCTTTGCCGCGCTCTTCGCGGAGAACGCGCACCATGGATTGGATGTCTTGTGCACTGAATAAGGCTGAGTTGCAGAAAGTGCATGGGCCGATGCCTTCCTTTACGCAGATGATCTTTCCGCAGTTCAAGCAGTTTGGCGCAGCTTCGAGCAAAGGATGTCTGGTGGCCATGCAATTGCATTTCCGTTTGCTGTTGTCTTGTGGGGCAAGGGTAGGGTTCGTCTGAATCTCAAGTGCTCTGATTGCGGACTCCAGATCATTGAGTGCCGTCGAGGCACCATGCATGGGCGTGCCACCAGTTACATTAATCTTTGCCTTGGCCTTTGGTTTGGTCTCAGAGATAAGTTGGCCTGGAAGTTTCTTTGATGGTTGCGGAGCAGGCGAGACACCACGGGATTTGGGGGTCGATGTCCCCGATGACGTAGTGAAGGTTGGTAATTGCAACCCGTCAGGTTGTTCTTGTAAGCCGAATTTAGCAGCCTTGGGCTTTGAGCTACCCGCCATGTAGTCTTCTTCATCTTTTTTGAGATATGCACCAGATACGTTGCCACGGTCCTCTACTTGTCGCGGTGGCGGAAGTTTGTTCAAACCGGGCTTCTTCTTCTTTGGCTTCGCCCTGGGTACTTCTGACATGCCATTTGACACTTGAGCCTGACCAGAACCGCCAGATGGCTTCGGCTTCCTCCGGTTGTTAAACGAAGAGATAAACTCAAGTGCTTGCGGGCTGTCACCCAAGAAATTCTGCAGATGGTCCGCTGCTTCTTTGGGCGATAGTGACTCAGTATACGATATTAGTTGCTTCAGTGACTCATCGTCTAGAGGGACAAGCTTCGATAGCTGGGGCAATGCCCAGGTTGAGAGATCCATGTTCTTGTTGATGAGGTTGTGGTCGCCAAATGTCAGAATAGGTTGTTGGCTGTGAATCATCACTCTGAGCTAGTAGCTGTGGCGCAGATGTGGCTGGTCGGCGGTCCGTGCCCCAAAGTTCACATGGAATTCCAGGTCGTGGGGAAGCTGCCATCACAGTCCTCATACCCTCAACGACACATTCACCATGGCGACCGACATCGCGCTCGATACCACTATTGTACGTTAATCTTCTCATACGGTAAACACCCTTACTAATCAGAGCAGGGCACCATCGTCATCGAACTCTACAACGACCACGCGCCCAAGACATGCAAAAACTTCTCGACGCTCACGCAGCGCAACTACTTCAACGGCCTGATCTTCCACCGCATAATACCAAACTTCATGATCCAAGGCGGCGACCCCACGGGTACAGGACGAGGAGGTGAGAGCATATATGGCGACAAGTTCGAGGACGAGATCAGCCCCCAGCTCAAGCACACCGGTGCGGGCATCCTCAGCATGGCCAACTCCGGTCCCAACACCAATGGCTCCCAGTTCTTCATCACATTGGCGCCGACTCCGTGGTTGGACGGCAAGCACACCATCTTTGGACGGGTCAAGAGTGGAATGCAGATTGTAAAGAAGCTGGGCTTGGTCAAGACGGACAAGGAAGACCGCCCTGTGGAGGAAGTCAAGATTGTCAAGGCATACCTCGTCGACGACGGCGCGATGGCGATGCAGCGATACTAGCGCGGGGGAACGGGATCAGCCAGACGTCGATGCGATCGCATGACAGAGCGCATCAACGCGACACTCAATGCTTGAACGTGAGTTACTCGAAAATGGAATGTAGATTAATTACTCATACGTCCAACTAGTTCAGAGCTCCATTCGGATGGATCAACACCTTCGTATACCCCTCGATCCTCTTGTCAAACTTCTCGTATGCCGTCGGCGCGTCGTCGATATTAATCTCGTGCGATACGACGAAGCTCGGCTTGGCCTTGCCCGATACAATCATGTCGCGAAGATACCTGTTGTACGCCTTCACATTACACTGCCCGGTGCCAAGATGCAAACCCTACGGTCGTCAGTGGTGGGTACACAACTTCGAACCACGAACATACCTTTTCGAAGAGCTTGCCGAACGAGATCAGAATTTGGCCCTTCTTGCTCTGCTCGTCTGGGGCTCCAGGGTCGGCCGGAACATACAACCCTGGAATACCTAAGCCACCCGTTGGCCGGGTCACCATGATCAACTGGTCCAAGACAACGTTTGGCTTCTCCTTGCTACCAGACGCGTCCACGGCTTGATAACCTACCGCGTCGACAGCGCGATCCACCATACCGTCATTGAGCTTGATGATCTGCTCCACCGGGTCGCTCTTCCTGAAGTCAATAGGAATGCATCCGATCTTCTCCGCAGCTTGCAGTCGCTCAGGCACTGTGTCGACTACGAAGACCTTGCTCGCGCCTCGTAGGATACCACTATAAGCTGCCATGAGACCAACAGGACCTGCACCGAACACCGCGACGCTTTCGCCGGACTGGAACCCAGCGAGGACCAGCCCATGCCAGCCCGTTGGGAATATATCTGCTAGCAGTATGAAGTCGGCTTCGTGCTCGGTGCCTTTGGGCAGTTTGAGGGCGTTGAAGTCGGCGAAGGGGACGCGGAGGTATTGCGCTTGGCCGCCCTGATACGGGCCCATGGCTACGTAGCCGTAAGCTCCGCCGGCGAAGCCTGGGTTTACTCTGTTTGATAGTCAGGACAGACGGTCGACAATTTGATTGAAGCTCGACCTACCCAGTACAAAACGCAGTCTTGCCCTCCTCGCAATTGCGACACCTGCCGTCGGCAACATTCTACAATCCACCGCGTCAGCCCTCCGCCATCCGCACTATATCTCCACGGAACACTCACAAACGGCAACACAATCCTATCCCCCTTCTCCAGCAGCGTCACGCCGGCACCAACCTCGATAATCGTCCCCATGTTCTCATGACCAAACACCAGACCCGCCTCCGCAGCCGTCCGTCCCTGATACATATGCAAGTCCGACCCGCAAATCGCCGCCGTCGTAACCTTGACAATCACATCATCTGGATGCTGTATCGTAGGCAGTTCGACGTCCTTGACCGAGACCTTGAATGGACCTTCGTAGTGCACTGCTTTCATCTTGGAGCTGGACATTTTTGGGGGTTGTTGCGCGCGTCGCGTACAAGCAGTTTTGAAGGTTCAGTGGTTCAAAGATACAAGATACAAGATACAAAGAGTTCGTCGCGACAATAGAACGAGATGCGCGTATATTATCGTGAAGTGGGAAATGGTTGCAAAGGACAAAAGGCATGTTGATCCTACAACGGAACCAGACCCAGTCTATGATGTATGACGACCCCTCACCTTCGGTACTTGCAAGCTTGCACGGCTTGCAGGAGTTGGGACCAGAGCGTCTGGCTGGCGTCATTATTGAGGGGCTGACAGCGGAGAGAGGGTCGATCAAGTGTGGGGTACGGGTTCCGAGTCGGAAGAGGCGCTTCGGAAACTAGCTCGTCACCCGAAGGCATGCTCGAGCTATCATCTCATCATTGACCTTTCCTTGGGCTTCGCGCTTGAGCCTGAAGTCGTTTCGTGAGTAGAAGTGACTGTATAAATTGGGGCTTCGACGTCTCGTCGACTTCATCTTGCTCATGCAATGACACACCTGCTCGTGATGCGGAAAAGAGCAACATTGATGAAAGGGCCTGATGGAGGCCATATATGTTGCAAGGAAATTTCTGGCAGTCAGAATCAACTGATGTAAACGACAAGAAAAGGGCGCGGATACATGTTCGTCTCGTTGCTTACTCGTCACAAGCGATACACCACAAAATCTGGCCCCAGGGGACCTCCAGCCTTGTATCTGACTTGGTTCTCGAGGAGACCTGTCCTGCACAGGTCGTCTCCACGTGCAAAGCCAATCGTGGCGCTGTAAGCGATAGGCAACAACAGCGACCATTCGCCTGTTTACGCGCTCCGACCCCGCATCCTGCCTTGTCTCAGCCTTCCTCTTTCCTCCATCATGATCTGATTATCCTTTTGCGCAGAAGAAAATGAACCGACCATAGCCATTATGGAGCCGAACACAGTGCCGACAGAAAGACTTCGGTATGGAAAGGGGCTTGCGCTACTTTCACTGGACGGCGGCGGTATCCGTGGTTTGTCGTCGCTATACGTTTTACAACGCCTTATGGAGCAGCTGGATCCCGAGAACCCACCAAGGCCTTGCGACTGTTTCGACCTTATCGGTGGCACGTCTACGGGCGGACTCATTGCACTCATGCTAGGGCGCCTGCGTATGACGGTCGCGGAATGCATCGATGCATACCATGAGCTTATGCCGGCTATCTTTGAGAAGGCCAAACATCGCTACTCTATCAGCAAGGGTAAACTCCAAGGGAGATACGATGGTAAAGCTATAGAGGAGGGGGTTAAGCGCATACTCGAGGAACGTAACATTAGACCAGACGAGCTTCTCAAAGACCCCGGCTCCACATGCAAAACGTAAGTGGGCCGCAATGTCTACAGTCTTTCTCCGGCTAATAGCTCAGATTTGTCTGTGTAACCAGGAAGACCGGTTCACAGATAACGCTTTTCTCCAATTACCCCATACAACGCGGTGAAGATATGGGAGGCAGCTCGTGCCACTTCAGCCGCGACAACCTTCTTCGAACCTATCAAGATCCTCCATGAAGAGTTTGTGGACGGTGCCTTTGGTGCAAACAACCCGATCGACGAAGTCTGGACAGAAGCTGGTGACATATGGACACGCAATACTGGAGAAACACTAGAAGACAACATAAGTTGTTTCGTCTCCATTGGAACTGGTATACCGGCTTTTGGAAAAGTTGACGAGTCACTCGTTGGTATGGTGCAGACGCTGAAAGCGATAGCTACCAACTGTGAGAGCGCCGCTGAGAGATTTCAACGACACCATCCTGCGCTCGACGGGCGTTTCTTCCGTTTCAACGTGCCAAGAGGTCTGGAGAATATAGGGCTGGAAGAGATCAACAAGGCAGGCGACCTCATCGCTGCTACCAGACAGTATCTAGAGTCACAATCGGCTTTCCTCGATATCGAAAAGTTCCAGTCGGCCTTTCAGCAGCGACAGCGTACGTACCCTACGGAGCAGAGGGAAAGCGGACTGTCCAGCTGAACGACTAGCAGGGATTCAACGAATTTGCGACTATGTTACTAGTGTAGCTGAACGCGTATCATACAGTGTTCGTTACCAGTCAGAACGCGTGAGCCAAACCACTGCATCAAGTACTCATTGGATCACAAACACAAGCATTTGTGATTCGTGGCTGCGACATGGCTATGAGCTATTACACATTGACTGGAAGGGTACAGGACCTGAGCGAGATATAAAAGAGAATGACATCGTCGCAATCGCGGATACACTCTTACAGATGTCGCCTCAATTCATCAACCTCAATCTTACGAACATTGTCCTGCGGAGTTACAACAAACCTCTCGTGGATGTTGATCAATCCCAACACAATTCATGCGAGCATTGTAAACAAGACGAAGGTGTACCTCACCATGTTTGTATTGATGTGCAGCGACCTATTACTCCCAAAGAGCTCATGGTGGCTTTCGCATGTGTCCAGTTAGCTCGCAACACGAGCGAAACAGAACTTGCTACACGCATATCAGAAATGGATAGCTCCAATTTTGGCCTTCTCGAAAGATTGTCGACCGAAAAAGGCGTTGAAGAAGGCTCCCGAGTCGACTATGAAACGTTGTTAGGGGGTTATAGCATCGGGAACATCAATCATTTGGTTGGCTATTCGTTGCAAAGACTGCCAACTAATTGCTTTCTTCTCTTCTCAATATGTCATCTCACAAACTCTACTATTCGCAGCAATGAATTGGAAATGGTGGTGAGAGGATTCCGTGCTCTTCTTCCAGAGACGTCGAGGCTGCAGGCGGTGATGCACAACTGGGGGAATCAATCTCCAGATATTCAACAACCATTTTCATTGACGATCAGTCGCAGAACCGAATACCTGGGTAAGGTTTCCCTGTTAGTGATCCCCCATTACTCGAAGTATGAATCTGACGTGCTTTCTAGAGTGTCTCGCATCTTTAAAATCCCAGGAGGTTCTCGCCCGATTAAATCAAATCCTTCCACCTGCTTCAGGGACTTTCAGTTGGTTGGATACCCATCCGTCATTCCACAGGTGGCAGGATAATGGAGGTACTTTGTGGATCCGTGGTAAGCCGGGGAGTGGTAAATCAACTTTGGCGAAAGACGTCCTCATGACACTCCGGTCTAAAGAAATACCTTCGGTGATCGGAGCCTGGTTCTACAGCGTCAAGCTTACTTTGGCGCAGCGGTCACACCAATCTCTCTTACAGGCATTACTTGGCAACTTCCTCGAACAGGACGAGAAACTGTTCCGAGAGCATGTCAACATCTATCGGAAAGCGAGACTACCGCCATGTGATTCGTGGAAATGGTCAAGAGATCTTTTGGAAGAGTTCTTATGGGCCATATCACGAACACCGCAAGACTCTATTATCATGGCCGTTATTGACGCATTGGACGAGTCCGAAAACGACGATCAGATTGATAAGTCACGGCAACATCTAGCGACGTTCCTTTTGGACCTTGCGGACCACCCAGAATCATGTATGCGGTTCATCATCCTCAGTCGGCCGTATGAATCCTTACAAATTATCTTTCGCGACTGTGAGCAGATTGTATTGGAGCAAGAGAACGAGCAGGACTTGAAGGAGGTTATCGACAGAAATTTGGACTGGCTACGGCATGCAATCGATCGAAGTCATGACTTTGAAGCACAGAGTATTGAGTCTCCGAAGCCAGACAGCCGCAGAAGGCGGAAACGACCACGAGATGCCGTTTCCACTACCACAACGATACAGCCTGATCCCGCTCTCGCTGCATTGGTCGACGACCAGTTTCAAGCTATGAGAGATTATCTGATACAGAACGCGAACGGCGTCTTCTTGTGGGTGACTTTAGTACTCAAGGAGCTGCATCAAATCTCCAAAGATGCATTTTCGGGGATCATGGACCTGAACCAAGCACTTCATTCGCTGCCATCCGAACTTGAAGATCTTTACGCTGCCATAGCTCGACGGCTGCAGAACCGTGACTTCAAGAAGACTAGGCGGATACTTGATTGGATCATTGGTACTAGCCAATCACGGGCGCTGACGCTGTCGATGTTATCTGAAGCCATGAGCATCGACGAGGAGATCAACGTGGAAGCTTCCATGACACCTACGACAGATCCCTTCTTGGTTCACAAGCCTATAACAAGACAGCAAAGCTGGGGAGTATTCGCATTTGACGTCTACGATCAATGCGGAGGGCTTGTCGATGTTGTACCTCCTGACGAGGCTCGAAAACAATTCCAAGAATATCATGAAGAAGAGATCAATGATCAATGGGTCGCAATCCTGGTACATCGTACTTCTCTCGACTTCATTGCTTCAACCAGATGCCCCGAGGTCATTAGGACGAATGCGGCACGCGCTAGATCGGTGGTAGAGGATGGGCTGGTTACATACCTGCAGGTTTATCTGCCAATGAGCGCTGGTCAAGAGCCTTCATTCCATCCCCGATTGGCCATACAAGGAGAATTCGGAACCAGTGTTCTGTCATTTTCTTCCCCCTGCGAACCGCTGCAGTCGGGGTTCGACAGAAGTGCCCCGGCACGGTACCACCCAAGCGACCCGATACCTTCCTACTCAGTACAGCCGCAATATCATCCAGTGCAAAACATTTTGGGAGACGCCACGCCAACGGACTTATCAACGAGAGCGATGCAAGCATGGGATGCCAGATGTCGCGGTTGCTATTTGGAAGATTCTGAGCGACCATCGGGCACCTTCAACAATGTTCATGATGAGCACCTTTATCAGGGAATTGGCGCTCATCTTGCGGAAGAAGCTAACGAAGACCTCAATCTCGAGCTTCGTGGCGTTACCCCCGAGACTAGGAGAGCCTTTTCCCAGGCGACGACCAGATGCATACATCAGCTACTCACGGCATCAGACAAGCCACTATTGCAGTACCTCGAGAATCGGCGACTCCTCGAATTCAGTGTGCAGATGTTACATCAGCTTTGGGACATGGTTCGATACAGGGACAAGCTCAACTCATACAAAACAATATTTCAGGATTGGAGAACCAGGAAGTCATTCGATATTTTGGATAATGACCTTTTTCAGCCACACCCATGGGAAACAGTGCCTGTAAGTCCCTTGGCATCCACCGTGCCCGCATGGTTTTGTTGGTTACAAGACATTCCTGGTAATATCCTTGTAGCTGCCTGTGCGCAGAATCAAGAGAATGCGTTGCGTAATATAGTGGCTTTACTCCATCTGAGCCCTCACCTTTGGAGGAATGTTCCCATCGCGAGGGATGGCGCTCTCATGATACTCAACACCACTACCGCGTCGATGGGAGGACTGGAAGAGAACCCGGGATGTATGAAAATTCTCCGTGCACTTCCCACTATCACAACTACATGGAGACCTGGTAACGAAGCTTTCCAGCGAAATCCATCGGAAGTTTCCTCGGCAGAAGCAACATACTACAGGCCCTCTAGTTCTGTACTCTCCAGTAATGCGAGCCTGTCTGAATTTTATGAACGAAACGAATATCTCAGCTTTTACGAGTTGGATTCACGATAAAACAGGCTCTCCGCCTACCTGCGGGTCACGAGGGGCTTAACTGATGGTCTCGGGCCTATGCGAGCCTGTATAGTCCGTATTCCTAAGGCAATGCAGCCACAATCTCGTTACGTAGCTCTGTGCAGTCACCATCACAAGGTAAACGAAGCAAACTTAGTGGGATATTGCAAAAGCTATGAAATTCTATTCTTGTCGCAAAGCTCATAGCCATCGCCCAGCTCCGTACATGCATCACTAGCCATCAATCCCAATCAAATCACCTACTTCAAAGCCGCCAACCCCTCATTCAACCTTCCCAGCCTCCCCTTAACCTTCTCAACCCTCGCTCCCGCAACACTCACCACCCCCTTCTCCTTCCCCTCAACACCAACTTTCTCCTCAACCCCTCCCTTCCCTCCCTCCACAACCCCCTTCCTCTCCGCCTTCTCCTTCTTCTCCCACCTCCTCTTCCACATCCCCCTATAATTCACAACGCACTGCCTAACCCAAACCCTCCACCACACCTCCTCCGCCCACCTTACTAACACCCCATCCGTGGCACCAGCATACTGCGCATCTGCCCATGCCATCGTGAAGTCCTTGTCGCGCGGCAAAGTGGCGAGGAAGGGTGTGCCGGTGGAGGGGCAGAAGAGTGTCCAGCGGAAGAGACAGAGCAGTTTGGCTGTGGCGGACATGTTGGGTGGAGGTGGGGAGGCGGAGAAGGGGAGGGGTGGTGTGGAAGGGAGGGGGGCGACGTGGAGGGCTGGGTTTGGGTTTGGGTTTGGGGAGGCGGTGGTGGATGGAGACACGAAAGGCAGAACTATGGTGGTTGGTGAAGTCGGCGAGGCATCGGTCGACAAACCGGGTGTGAGCGGTGGTGTCAACGGCGGTGTTAGCTCGCCTGTAGCTGTGGGTTCGAGATCGGGTGTCATGGGCTGTGAGTGCTTGACGATGATGATTGGAACGGGTACGTCGCTACTCCATCCATTCTTACCAGTTGGAATGGCCTGGGTGATAAGCTCGCGCAGTCTCTGCTCTTCGCGCTCTTTGACCCATGCGGCGCGCTTGGTGTAGTATGCGGTTGCTACATGCGGGAACATGGTGAAGACTTTGTTGCGGACGGCTGCTCTGGTGCGGGTTTGCCATGCTGAGAGGTCTTGATCGACGTGCTCGTGGGTTTTGCTGCCGGGCTCTTTGGAGTCTGCAGTCTGCTGAATGGGACGGTAGCCAGGGTAATGCTGCGGAACCCATTCTTTAATGAAGTGTGTCCAGTATGGCGCGCGGTCTTCGAGGCGATCGTGATACTTTTCCTCGGCTAGTCGAGCGGCGAAGTGGCCTGGGTGGAAGAGCCAGGAGCTAGCCAAGTACTTGTAGACTTGAATATAACATTAGCACAAAAGTCACAAACAAGACAGATCTAGAACTTACTCTCCTCCTTAGTCTTGAATCCCCCATTCAAGATCCTCCAATCCAAGCCCACAATCCGCAGCGCATCCTTCGGATCCTTGCTAACCCACACCATGCTACCCGGAAAATTCGTCTCTTCCATCTCTTCAACACGAACATGTATACCCTCAGGATCCATGGTGAGGCCCAGCGGTTTGACCATACTGCCGATCATCTTGCTGTTACTTGCGTAGTTGAGCTCGAAGTGACACCAGTGAAACAACTCCGGCTTGAAGCAGACTTTGACATCGATCTGGATGAAGTAGTTCTCTTCGCCGTGTGGAGAGTCGATGGCGAAGTACATGCAGTCTCTGGTAAGAAAGCCTTGGCGCCCATGTGTGGTATCGAGGACGTCTTTGATGAGGGAGACGGTGCTTTGCCAGGGGAATGTGTCGAGTGTGGTGGTGTCTTTGGAGTGGAGAGGGGAGCAGACTAGGAAGTCGACGTCGCCGTAGTCATCCTGTGGGTGTCAGCAGGTGAGCAGCGTGGTAGATGTGTAGTCATACCTTGCCAGGCATCTCAGTCGGTACCACGACTTGCGCGAAGACAGTCTGCAGCGCGGCTTTCGTCTCTGCTTTGACCCTCTCGTAGACCGATGGGGAGATGCGGGGACAATACAGTCCTTTGAAGGCGTGGCCGCCCATCTCGTGCAACGATCGAGGGGAAGACAGTTGTCAGTGTTAGTCGACCTCTTACTGAATGATGAAAGCGTCTGATTCGAAATGAACGATGAGAAGACGATGGATGTTTAGAAGATCAAGAAGCTGCACTTCACTTTGTATTGCTCTAGCGTGCTGCAGGATGGAGTAAAGGTAAGAACAGCTGAGCGGTGCCAATTGCGGTAAGAGAGTATCAGACGACATGGCAAGTGCCCAGCGGAACAAACATGGCAACTGTGTACGCGAACTTGATCCCATCGAACGTCACCTTTACCTGGAGGCATCGAATCGTGCCAGTGTTACATCAAGCAACCGATCGCCATAAACGTGTTGTTGTGTCTCGATCCTGTTGGAAAAGAACAAGACTACACCAGACTGTACGGGCATAAGCGCGCAACGGATTCCGTAGACAATGATCCTCGTGAGATGTACTGCTCCAAAATGTGACTTGCAACTCAGAGGCAGTACCTGATAGAAGCGCTCACCAAGATCTGGTAAGATTGCTGTACTGCATTCACATCGTCCTTAGGCTTGTTAACAGATGAGAGTGCGCCTTGTCCACAGCCTTGCAGCCTACCTCCCCATACTCTTCTGCGTCGCATACATGTGGCGTTCAAAGAATGATTGGGCGAGGCTGCTCTGTGTCACCCTCACCATCACCGCTCCTGCGGCGCAGCAGTGCCACAAGCGCTAAGCCTAACCACATATCAATATCGCACTCACCACCACTCCATCTTCAACCAACTACCACCAAAGAAGCTGACAACATGGCAATGACACGACTCCAAGCGATCCTCGCCTGCTTCCCCTGCGGCGCCTCGGAGCCGGAGCACACCACTTACCCCGACGAGAAAGTCGCCTTGCTCGCTGCCGCCAACGACAACGACAACGACAACCCAGATACCGCCGATGAGATCGCAGACTCCGTCGTCGAAAAACTCCTCACCACCCGCCTCACCGGCGCCCACCTACGCATGCACCTAGACGCCCTCGTCGGCCCCTCCGGCTGGCGCACCACGCTCGCCCAACACATCCTCTCGCGACTCACCACCGCTCTCCGCGTGTCGCACGAAGAACTCGGTCCCACCATCTCGTCCGCCTGCGACACTGCGTGGGAAGCCGCGCAAAGCATCGAGGGCTTCGTCATCGAGCACCCGGTCATGTGCACTGTCATTGCCCTGGGCGTCCTCGCTATCGTCGCGCCGTGGGTGTTGGAAGCGCTTGGTTTTGCTGAACTGGGGCCAGTCGAAGGTACGTGTAGTGTGAAAGTGTGAAAGTATGAAAGTATGAAAGTATGGGTGTTACTTCCCCTTCGTTTCCAGCGAGCTGGGAATGAGGGGATCGAGATGCGACAGTACGTTCCGTGGAACTCGACAAAAAGCAAAACAACTTTGGGTTATTTCGTGACCAAAGAAAAGCGGTTGGAAGGAAAAGGACACGGAAATGTCAAGCGAATTGAACGGGAAGAAACTGATTTGACCTTGAAATAAAGCGCTAACACGTGAAATCAATGCAGGTACCTTCGCCTCATGGTGGCAGTCCACCTATGCCGGCCTCGTACCAAAGTCCTCGCTATTTTCCTTCTTCCAGCGGTTAGGTATGACCAAGTGGCATTGGGTGCTCGTCTAATCCAATTCATGCCATTCATGCTCGGAATGAGGGGTTCGTCGGTTTTGGTTCGCTCCTTCCTTTCTCGTCTCGTGTCGTGTCCTCCTGTCAACCTTGGAATGCGAACAGGCCACTTTCCGTGGAATGTAAACGAGATCAAGGAAGCGGGTCTGCGGGGAAAGCACCAGAATAAGCGGCAGATGACGCAGTTGGTATAGGTCGAAGGATTTGAGGGATTGGGATGTCGTCTCGCGTATCTTGCATGATGATGCACGCGCGTGATGGATTGACATGGTTGGCATTGTGCTGTCTGCTGTCGTCAGTCGTGGGTAGTAGGGCGCCTAATCCAATCCTTCCAACTTCCCCCTCTTCCAATGTCCACGTCCTTGATTAGTAGTTCGCCACCTAACGCAGTGACATTATCCTGAGGCTCTGCTACCCGCAGGTGTCATCGCAATTTCCCCACACACCGTTCTACGTCATCC